ATCTTCTCCACAAGAAATGTCTTGATTGCGCTCAATACAGATGGTCTTCTTTGGCAGGTCTTTCCTCTTGCCAGCACCAGTATGTGTGGTCCCCTGGGGCCGGCCTCTTTGCCCTAGTAAAGCTCTCTATTGAAGAGGGACACTGTAGGTTTCAAGTTCTGATTTGCCATGATCAGAACTTTGCTTAAGTCCTACCCACATCTTATTAGGCAGAATTCACTCATCCTTGTTTGTTTGTTTTTAAAATTATTTTTAGTGTTTTTTTTTGGAGGGGGGAGGGTCGGTCATGGGGCTTGAACTCTGGGCCTGGGCGCTGTCCCTCAGCCTCAGCTCTTCAGCTCAAGGTGAGTCTTCTACCACTTGAGCCACAGCTCCACTTCCAGTTTTCTGGTGGTTAATTGGAGATAAGAGTCTATGGAGGGGCTGGGAAGGTGGCTCAGTGGTAGAACGCTTGCCTTGCATGCATGAGGCCCTGGGTTCAATTCCTCAGCACCACATAAGCAGAAAAAAAAAAGCCAGAAGTGGCACTGTGGCTCAAGTGGTAGAGTGCTAGCCTTGAGTTGAAGAGCTGAGGGACAGCGCCCAGGCCCAGAGTTCAGGCCCCACAACCGGACCCCCCCCCACAAAAAAAAAAAAAAAAAAAGAGTCTCATGGATTTTATGCTCATGCTGGCTTAGAACTATGATCCTTAGGTCAGCCTCTTGAGTAGCTAAAGGTTACAAACATGAGCCACAGGCACTGGGCTAAGAGTACATTTCTTTTTGAGCAATGTCCCCCTTTCCTTTGTTCTGTCCCAGTTTTACCCTCCTGTCCCCACCCACAAGTTGATAGTTCATTTTCAACATAGTGTCTGGTGAGTACTATCCTTGTTTTTATGCCCTGTTTTGTTTTGTATGCGCCATTACTGGAGCTTAAACTTAGGAACTAGTTGCTGTCTCTTAGCTTTTTCACTTAAGGCTAGTCGCTACCATTTGAGACACAGCTCCACTTCCCGCTTTTGTTTTTTTGGGGGGTCCGGTTGTGGGGCCTGAACTCTGGGCCTGGCACTATCCCTCAGCTCTTCAGCTCAAGGCTAGCACTCTACCACTTGAGCCACAGCGCCACTTCCGGTTTTTTTTTTTTTTCTGCTTATGTGGTGCTGAGGAATTGAACCCAGGGCCTCAAGCATGCAAGGCAAGTGCTCTACCACTGAGCCACCTTCCCAGCCCCTCCACTTCCAGTTTTTTTTCTGGTTAATTGAGGATAAGAATTTCAGACTTGCGGGGCTGGGAAGGTGGCTCAGTGGTAAGAATGCTTGCCTTGCATGCCGGGCGCCCGTGGCTCACACCTGTAATCCTAGCTACTCTGGAGGCTGTGATCTGAGAATCATGGGTTAAAGCCAGCCTGGGCAGGAAAGTCCGAGCTGAAGTGTGCAGGGACAGCGCCCAACCCCAGAGTTCAAGCCCCAGGACCAACAAAAAAAAGAATCTCAGACTTTTCTGCCTGGGCTGGCTTCAAACCATGATCCTCAGGTCTCAGCCTCCTGAGTAGCTAGGATTACAGGTGTGAGCCACTGTGTCCCAGCTCACTTTCAAAGTTTGAAGAACTCTTCTGCAGCATGAGAATAACAAGGTGATCATGGCCACATTGGCTTTTTTTCTCCTCTTCTCCTCCCCCACCAAGTATTGGCTATCAGAACCCAGCCTTGTACTAGCTAGGTAGTACATACCATCTCCAATCCAGTATTTCCTTTTAATTTCCTTTTAATTGGCCCACTGGTGAGTACCATTATCGCTTCAGCCTGGGCACTTAAGTTAGCCTATCCAGTTCAAAAGATTTCTTCCTTTGGAAAACCTCCCAGACCTCTTCCTTTCCTGTTCCATATCCAAGGCTCTCCTCTGGCTGCTGGAGCAGCTCTGTTATATTCTAGGAGGACTTGTTGGTTTCCTGCTCCTACCTGACTCTGTGAGGGTGAGATTCTGGAGGGCAGAGGCTAGTACACACATTGTTCTTCAGAAGTCTCACCTAGTACCTGGGGCACCAGCTCTGAATCAGGACTGGCTAAATGCATGGAGCATGGTTTCTGTTTCTAAACGCAAAGCTCTCATTTTCTCCCATTGGGCAGGCTCCTTCCTGCTCCTCTGCCATCAAGACATCAGTATTTATTAGGCCATTGGTCCTGGGCTCATACTTGCACCTGAGTGGTATCTGGAATGACTTCTAATTAGGAACTGCAGGCTTCCTCCCTGACTCTTGCCAGGGGCATGGTAAGGCAGCCTCTACCTTTGCTGTCTGGGGCAAGACATTCATCTCCTGCCATTGTCAATGGGCCTCACTGAGCGAGAGACACTGTCTACAGCATCACTTCCATATGGGACCTTGCCAACTATCCTTTTCTACAAGGACATCAGAACAGCAATCCAGGAAACAAGAAGGCAGGGATGAAGAAAATGTAAGCCAGGTGCTAGTGGCTCACACCTGCAATCCTACAATCCTAGCTCCTCAGGAGGCTGAGATCTGAGGATCATGGTTCAAAGCCAGCCTTGACAGGAAAGTCCTAAAGACTTTTTTGTTGTTGATGGTTGTGGGGCTTAAACTCGGTCTGGGCACTGTCCCTCAGCTCTTCAGCTCAAGGATAGCACTCTACTACTTGAGCCACAGTTCCACTTCTGGTTTTCTGGTGGTTAATTGGAGATGAGTATCATGGACTTTCCTGCCTGGGCTGGCTTTGAACCGAAATCCTCAGATCTCAGCCTCCTGAGTAGCTAGGATTATAGGCGTGAGCCACTAGCACCCAGCTCCTCCAAAGACTCTTTTCTCCAATTAACCACCAGAAAACTGGAATTGGGGCTGTGGTTCAAAGTGGTAGAGCACTAAGCCTTAAGCCAAAAAGCTCAGGGATAGTTCCTAAGCCCTTAGCTCAAGTCCCATGACTGACTAAAAAAAAGAAAATTTAAAATTAAACTCTCAGGGCATTGTTGGTTCACACTTGTAATCCTACCTATTCAGGAAGCTGAGATCTAAGAATCACTGTTTGAAGTCAGCTGGAGAAGGAAAGTCTGTGAGACTCTTATTTCCAATTAGCCACACACAGGGAAAAAAAAAAAAACCAGAAGTAAAGCTGTGGCTCAAGTGGTAAAGTGCTAGCCTTGAGTAGGAGAGAGCTAAGAGACATTGTATATTTCAAGGTGTATTTCAAGCCCCGGGACCTACACACACACACACACACACACACACACACACACCTGAGTACATGCATGAGCATGCACACACATAACACATATACATATACACATGCACATATACAGAAATTAAATTTTGTGTAAGTTTTTTTTTCTGTGTGTATGTGTTTACCAGTACTGAACTCAGGGCTTCATGCTCTCCCTTAGCTTTTTCGGTTTGAGGCTGATATTCTCCTTCTACCACATCATAAAGCACACTGCCACTTCTGTTTTTTTTTTTCTGGTTAATTGGAAATGTGTCTTACAAATCTGGCTTCTAACCTTAATCCACAGATCTCAGCCTTCTGAGTAGCCAGGATTACAGGCATGAGTCACCTGTGACCAGCTAATTCTGTGTACTTTTGAGTAACATTTACTTAGTGCTTCACAATTCAAAAGGTACCAAGAGTTCTATATCATGGAATTCCCCACCCAGCTCTGCCTAAGAGGTTTAGGGGAAGTTGCATCCCTGTGTGACTATGTATTTGACTATCTCTGTGGTTTCTCAGTCTTTGCTTTTTCTGGATGTTTCTCTAGCCTAGTCTCTAAGACCTTCATTGCATTCTGTCCCCTGCGCCCAAACCCCAAACCTCTCTGAGTGCTTTGGACAGGCACCTGGCAGATTCTATGAATCAGCTGACAGCATGTCTGTAATACAAAGATATTTGATGAGTCAGGGCTTCTAAAGCATCTTTATTTGATTGTGAATTAGATGCATTTTCATTCACTAAGGTTCTGGTTCTTCAAAGACAAGCCAACAAGCAGTGATCATTGCATCGGTCTCACCCCGTTTCCCTTCTATAACCTGTGGCTTTCATTTTTATCACTGCTGCTGAGGATGGCTTAGGGTTCACTTAAGCCAGGGTAGATAGGTGAAGAGATAGGGAAATTATGTTATTTTTAATAACTACTCAAAGTGCCAGACTCAGAAATTTGAACCAGGAAGTAAACTGGAAAAATTAAAAAGGAGCAGTTAGCTCACTTCCATCACCTCTTTTTAGATGTTAAGTTACAAGAATAGGGAGACATACAAGGGCTAATCTACATCAGCCTTTGCCTTTGAGATGTTAAAGCTCCTGGCAGGGGTAGAAAGAGAAAAATGAAAGTCAAGTCTGGCAAAAGGAAGTCCTTAAACTCACCTATTGTGCCTGTGTTTGGGGGAAGGATCTAGACCACGTCTCCATCTTTTAGAATAAACAGCACCCATCTTAGCCACCCAGAACCTTTGTCTAAGGGTTGGGGGTTGCTAGATGACATGATCAGAAGATGAGAATGGGCATATTTGGGGAGCAAAAGCGTTTTCTCTTTTCTATTTCTTCCTACTCAATCCTTTTACTCTGAAATAAATCCTTGCTAAAACTCCCACCTTGTGAGACTCTTCTTGTGGTGATGTACTCTGAGCTGCTTTTCCTGAGTGGATCTCAAGAACTTGTGACTTGCAGTGGGCACTGGGAAACTGAGGGCACCCCCTCATCCTGTGAGACACACAGTTTTCCGAGGACAATTGTGCAAGCAATGTTGATCTCTTCCAAGACTTTTTTGACCCCTTTAATTGCTTCTTTTGCTTTTGCAAGAAAAACATTCACCCTACCCCCACTAACACAGGCCAACAGGCACTTAGTTAGGGGCCTCTCTCTACCCTTCCCTTCCAGAAATGACTAAAAATGAGAAAAGAACTAAAAGACCAAATCCTTTCTCTCCTAGAGAGGAGCTTTCGAGCTTTTGTTTAAGGCAGTGGTAAGGTCTCAAGAGTTAGGAAGAATTTTCTTTTACCTGCGTGGGGCCTATCAGACAGCTCACCTCTTCCCGTGGCGGGTGTGGTGGGCTTACTGGCTTTGAAGCCGCTGCCAGTGTGGCTCAGTTGATCCCCTGCTGGGCCCCCTGGCTTCTCAAAGACCTCAGGCCTGGAGCAACTTTCCCGTGCATCTGTCTGCTTTCCTGCAGCCACTGAGCCTGTGGGGTGTGAGACAGACAGACTGACACTGCCTCACAGCCCTGCAGAGTGTGCAGGGGCCAGTGAATAAGTAGCCAGGTCTCTTGCCATCTTCATCTTTGTTTGTTATAACTCTGCTATTTTGGTCTCTGTGACTTGTGGCTGCGCCATGATTAGGGTTTGATTACTATCACCAAAGCGACTAAAAGATGAAAACAGAAGCCACAACAGGAAATAAACAACTGCAAATGAGATATTTTATTCCATATTTGCTGCCAGCAAAATGATTAGAATCAAGCTCATTCACCATCATTCGGTGAACTCCTAAACTTATAAAAAACAACGACAACAACAAAAAAACCACCAATCAGACTATTCTGAAACTATGCTATGGATCTCATTTGTGTCTGAGATAGGAAAGAAGGAGCCTCCCTTTCTGACACACCAGCCAGGCAGAGATTCTCCACTACTAGCTTCTGACTTGTTTCTTGGAAAGGAAAAGAGTCAAGGTAGTGGGGTGGGGCTCGCTGTCAGGAAGGCTGCCATGTTAACTGATTCAGGGGATGCCAGAGAGCCATAAAGCAGCACCAACCATTGCAGCTACTTGCCCTGCATCCCACCCACTTCTACTTAGGGTAGTAAAATGCAGGAGGAAAGCCATGCCGAGAAGGCAAAATAAGGGTGACGCCTGAATTAAAACACCTACAATTACACTAGACGGGAACATAACTTTGCAAGTATATGCACGTTCCACCCAGACAAGCTGTGACGTCAGACTCCAACCCCTGAAACGCCCACTAAACCTCCTCCCTCCCCCCCCCACCATGTGTGCAACTCTGGCCTCTCACCATGAAGGGTGTTAAACACCAGATTTCTAGGAGATTCTTCAGATTCTACAAGAAGCTTAATTAGAAGGCAGACATTGGCTTTCTCTGCTTATTTAATCCTTCCTGTCACTCTGTAGCCTGGCAGGAAATAAACAGGAAATAAACAACTGCAAATGAGATATTTTATTCCATATCCCCTGCCAGCAAATGATTAGAATCAAGCTCATTCACAATAGTTTGGTGAGCCCTAAACTTTTGCTTCTAGAGAGATCTAGTACCAAGAGAAGGAATGGGACACAGACAGGGGTACTATACTTGCCCGGAAAACCTTAGAAAGCCTGCCAAAGCCTCATCTAATGTGAGGAGCAATGTAAGCACAAGTTGTTCAGCCAGAGAGTGGCAGAGCCTCAACCTTATTCATGTTTTTCTGATTCCTACGCTATGCTCCTTCCAGTCTCTTCTGTTTGTTATTATTTGTGGTGTCAGTAGTGGAACTTGAACTCAGGGCCTGGGTATACTGTCTGAGCTTTTTAGGTCAGGGCTATTCTGCTACCACTTGAGCTACCGTGTCACTTCTGGCTTTTTTTTTGCTGGTTAATTGGAGATAAGAGTCTCTTGGCTGGCTTCTGTGATCCTCAGATCTCAGCCTCCTGAGTAGCTAGGATTACAGGTGTGAGCCACCAGTGCTCTGCTTTCTTCCAGTTCTTCCATCTTTCCTTATCTATGGACTTGGGGTTACTCCTCCATTCCCTCTGGGTTGGCTGCTATCTTCCCAGGTTGCTGCCTTTTTTTTTTTTTGGCCAGTCCCAGGGCTTGAACTTAGGGCCTGGGCATTGCGTGTAAGCTTCCTTTGCTTAAGGCTAGCACTCTACCACTTGAGCCACAGCGCCACTAATGGCTTTGTTTATGTGGTGCTAAGGAATGGAACCCAGGGCTTCATGTATGCTATGCAAGCACTCTACCACTAAGCCACATTCCAGCCTAGGTTGCTGGTTTAATTTTTTTTTCTTGTGTGGTTATTAGGGGTTGAACTCAGGGTTTTTAGTGCTCTTGCTCAATTCCTTCTTTCTTCCTTTTTTTTTTTTTTTTGTCGGTCATGGGGCTTGAACTCTGAGCCTGGGCACTGTCCCTTAGCTCTTTAGCTCAAGGCTAGCACTCTATCACTTGAGCCACAGCACCACTTCCGGTTTTTTATTGGTTTATTGGAGATAAGAGTCTCTCGGGACTTTCCTGTCTGTTGTTGGCTTTGAACTGTGATCCTCAGATCTCAGCCTCCTGAGTAGCTAGGATTATAGGTGTGAGCCATTGGCGCCTAGCTTCAACTTTTTCTTTCAAGGCTGGCACTCCACGACTTAAGCCACACCTTTCATTTCTGGCTTTTTTGCTGGTTCATTGGTATTAAGAATCTCTCTGAGCTGGGCGCTGGTGGCTCACTCCTGTAATCCTAGCTACTCAGGAGGCTGAGATCTGAGAATCGCGGTTCAAAGCCAGCCCGGGCAGGAAACTTCATGAGACTCACTTCCAATAAACCACTAGAAAACTGGAAATGGTGCTGTAGCTCAAGCGGTAAAGTGCTCGTCTTGAGCTGAAGAGTTGAGGGACAGCGCCAGGCCCAGAGTTTAAGCCCCACGACTGACAAAAATAAATAAATAAATAAAAAGAATCTGATTTATCTGTCCAGGCTGGCTTTTAACTATGATCTTCAGATCTCAGCCTGTTCAGTATTACTTTATTATAGGTGTGAACCACCTGAGTAGAACCCCAAGCTGTTTCTGGTTGCTTTTCTTCTCTTTTTCTTTCTTCCTCCTCCTCCTCCTCCTCTCTCTCTCTCTCTCTCTCTCTCTCTCTCTCTCTCTCTCTCTCTCTCTCTCTCTCTCTCTCTCTCTCTCTCTCTTTCCCCTTGGGACAGTCTTGAGGCTTGAATTTAGGACCTTAGGGCTGCCCCTAAGCTGCTTCTCTTTTTTTTTGTTGTTGTTGTCGGTCACGGGGCTTGAACTCTGGGCTTGGGCGTTGTCCAGCTCAAGGCGAGTGCTCTACCACTTGAGCTATAGTGCCACTTCCGGGAGTTTCCTGCCGGGGCTGGCTTTGAACCAGGATCCTCAGATCTCAGCCTCCTGAGTAGCTAGGATTACAGGCCTGAGCTACCGGTGACCGGCGCTCCTGAGCTTCTTTTGCTCAAGGCTAGCACTCTACCACTTCAGCTACAGCTTTACTTCTATTTTTTTTTTTTTTTTTTTAGTAGTTTAGTGGAGATTAAAAATTTCATAGACTCTGTTGCCCTGTAGGCTTTTAACTATGATCTTCAGATCTCAATTTCTTGAGTAGCTACAGGCATGAGCCACTGGCACCTGGCTCCCAGGCTGCTTCTTTTTAGCTTGTGCAGGCACCCAGTAACATTTTAATTTCTAAAAAAAAAATTAGAACCTTATACAACCAGTACTTCTGGCCTGGAGATGATTGTGTGGTCAGTGTTGCTGATTTCTGACTTTCATCTCTCAAGATTTTCGGTTGGGCAGGGAAGTAATACAAGTGGCCCAATTTTCTCTCTCTCTCCCTCTCTCTGTGATACTGGGGTTTGAACTCAGGGACTTATACTTGGGCAAGTGCTCTACAACTTGAGCCAGGCTATAGCCCTAATTCTAAGTGTTGATTTGTGTGCCCGCCTCCCCCCCCCCCCCCCCCCCCCCCCCCCCCCCCGTGAGTGTGTGTGTGTGTGTGTGTGTTGCTACTACTGAACCCAAGGCACCCACTGAGCTTGCTGGCCTGGGAACAACAGTCACACTCAGCCCTGTAAATATTTATTAAGCATCTATGGTATGTTGGAAATCTTCTAAATTGCTGGAGGGAGACGCTTGAGTTATAAAGGTACTTAAGATTCATGCCTGCCTTTCCTTTTAAGAACATATAATTTAATTTAATTGGGGGAGATGCAAATAGTACATTTCACCTTTTCTAAAGATTCTTTAAAACCCTCAATGAGTTTCATTGCAGCCCTGATTTCACAATGCTAAATGACTTTTTTTTTTTTTTTTTAAATCGTATTTCAGTGAATAATATGTGAGGTCAGATCACCATGCCAACTAGCGGCCTCGTTAATGCTGATGCCGTGGAGTATTTAAATACTGTAGTACGTTTCTCAACGCCAGCCGCTTTCGAATCGTGGAAGACCTGAGGTCCCTTTGCCTGACCAATGCCTTCCCCATTTCCAAGCAGTAACCTCCAGCTAGCAATACCTTTCTCGGCAACCCTCGGATTTAAACTCTCCGACCCTAAGCACTGGGAGAGCTAGCAAGGCTTTCAAGGGCGCAGAAACAGGCCCCGCATGCAAATGAGTGCCCTAGGCGGGTCTGCTCGCTGAGTAACCTTCCCGCGCCGGGAGGCGGGGTGGCGGGTGGCCGAGGTCTTCCGGACCCGGGAGGAAACCTGCCGGCGGCGCGCAGGCGAGCCCCCCTCCGCGCCCCCCTTCCCCGCCTCCCTTCCCCCGCCAGGATGCGGCCCCTTGCAGCTCGTCAGCCAGCCAAATGCATTCCAGAGCGGAGCACAAGACACGCTTCTCCAGGCAGTCCTAGAAACCGGAGCCCGGAGAGGGAGAGGGCGGGAGCGAGCGCGCGCGGCCGCCGCTGAGGTCACACTCGCGCCGCCTCCCCGCCCTCGGCCGCCCGGCTGTTCCCTCCAGCGAGCACTTCCCGGGGCCTCGGTCCAGTCCGGTGTGGATGTCTTTTGCCCGGAGACAGCGTTCTCCTCCCCTTTCCCTGGGCCAGGGCCTTCACAACAAAACGAATGAATGAAGCGCGGGGCCGTGGCGCGCCGGGCGGCCGCGGCCAGCTCCGCTGGGTCGGAATCGGGCGGCCAACCGGCTCGCCCCGCTCCAAAACACTCGCGGCGAAGCCCTCGCGGCGCTCCCGCTGCTCCCCATTTCTCCTGCGTTCCTCCCGGGTCTCAGTCGATTCGGGGAACTTCTCGCGCCCCCCCCTTCCCCATTGATCCCCCAGGGCAGACTCGGGAGGGGGTGGCGGTGTGTGTGTGTGTGTGGGGGGGGGGGAGAAATAGCTTTTAGAAACCCGATCTGTTGTTTGCGAAACACAATCGCTTTTTTTTTTTTTTAAAGCGACAGGGTGTCTAGACGGCCACGTGACGAGGCCGGAGCCGGGCGCGCCACTGCGCAGTGGAACCAGCCGAGCCGAGGGCCGGGCGGGGGGGGGGGGGGGGGGGGGGGGGCGGGGAGGAGGCGGCGGCGGCGGGGGAGGGGAGGGGGAGGAAGGAGGAGGGAAGGGGGCGGAGGCGGGAGGCCTTGCGGGAGGCGGCGAGCCCTGGGCGCACTCGCCTGCTGCTCGGCGCACGGTGGATCTGTCCCCGAGCCGCGCCAGCCGAGCCAGCCGGGCGCCGTGCTGGGTCCGCTCGCCGCGCCAGAGAGAGCTGCCCGAGACGGAGCCAGCCCGCCGGCGCCGAGCCGCCCTCAGCGCCAGAGCCCCTGAGAGCGGCGCGGCGAGCCCCCGGCGGCGGCAGAAGGACCCGAGCGTCAGGAGAGGGCGGACGGGGGACAAGGAGGCTCCCGAGAGCGACGAGGAGAGTCTTGGAGGAGGAGGCGGCGAGAGGACACCGGGCCTCCTGCCTACCGCAGCCGAGTCGGGGCGGGCAGCTCATGCGGGGCGCCCCGGCGGCCAGCTGCGATCAGGGGAGGGGGCACCAGCGGCTCCTCCGCTAGCGAGCCGCTTGTGCCCGGGGGAGGGGGGCGAGAGCGCGCGCCCCGCCGGGGGCCAGCCACCGCGCCGCCCTCCTCGGCGCTGTCAGCCCCGCGGGGCGCAGCCGCCGCCGCCGCCGCAGCAGCATCTTCGGTCCCCGCGTCCCCACCAGCGCCGAGGAAGTCCCCGCCGAAGCCCTGGACCCCTGGGAGTGCAGAAGGAAAGACCAGAGACTCCCCCTAAAACTCTGATGCGCAGGATCGAAGCAGCCTACCCAAACCTTTCTGTGGATTAAAAAAAAATTCTTTTTTTTTTTTCTGGCAAAAGAAGACCAGCGAGGCTCTGCAAGGGAAGGAAAGGGGGGTGTAACTCGTGGATACGTCTTTTTTTCTTCCACCCCCTCAAACATCTTGTTCTACTTTGTAAACATTTTCTTTCCTTTTTTCTTTTTTAAACCCGGGCTCCAGCTGGACGCCCCCAGACCTCCGAGGTGCGAGGGGGGGCTTTTTCATTTGGGGCTTTGCAGATTTGGCTTTTAGGTTTTGAGAGAGCCTCCTTATTTCGCCAGACGTCTCATGCGGGGTGAAGTCCACTCGGCCCCCTCCCCCGAGTCTTCGTGTGCACGGAATTCGAGGAGATCCGGTTACTAAGGATATAGAGGGAAAAAAAATAAATCGTGTGCCTTTTTTTTTTTTTAATTGCCTGCTTCTCCCCACCCCCAAATTAAGTTGGTTAGCAAGGGGGAAAGAGGCTTTTTCTTCCCTCCAGCAACCCAGCCGAACGCCTTTCGGTCTTTGCCCCGGCGGATCTTCCATGTAGGAAGCTGAGGCTGGCGAGCCCGACATTTGGGAGCCACTGCGGGGGAGCCTCTTCTTGGGGAGGCGCCGATTGGGGCAGGCTCGGCCGCCCCCAGGGAAGCGGCGGCCGCGTTCCTCCGGGGCGCGCCGGGGCCCGAGAGCCGCGCAGGGCGCGGGCCGCGCGGGGTGGGGCAGCCGGAGCGCAGGCCCCCGAGCCCCGGCGGGCGCCCCCGGGCCCCCGCGCGCGCCCCGGCCTCCGAGAGACTGGCGCATGCCACGGAGCGCCCCTCGGGCCGCCGCCGCTCCTGCCCGGGCCCCTGCTGTTGCTGCTGTCGCCTGCGCCTGCTGCCCCAACTCGGCACCCGACTTCTTCATGGTGTGCGGAGGTCATGTTCGCTCCTTAGCCGGCAAACGACTTTTCTCCTCGCCTCCTCGCCCCGCATGTTCAGGACCAAACGATCTGCGCTCGTCCGGCGTCTCTGGAGGAGCCGTGCGCCCGGCGGCGAGGACGAGGAGGAGGGCACAGGGGGAGGCGGAGGAGGAGGCGAGCTGCGGGGAGAAGGGGCGACGGACGGCCGGGCGCATGGGGCCGGTGGCGGCGGCGGCGCGGGCAGGGCTGGCTGCTGCCTGGGCAAGGCAGTCCGAGGTGCCAAAGGTCACCACCACCCCCACCCCACAGCCGCGGGCGCCGGTGCGGCCGGGGGCGCGGAGGCTGATCTGAAAGCGCTCACGCACTCGGTGCTCAAGAAACTGAAGGAGCGGCAGCTGGAGCTGCTGCTCCAGGCCGTGGAGTCCCGCGGCGGTACGCGCACCGCGTGCCTCCTGCTGCCCGGCCGCCTGGACTGCAAGCTGGGCCCGGGGGCGCCCGCCAGCGCGCAGCCCGCGCAGCCGCCTTCGTCCTATTCGCTCCCCCTCCTGCTGTGCAAAGTGTTCAGGTGGCCGGATCTCAGGCATTCCTCGGAAGTCAAGAGGCTGTGTTGCTGTGAATCTTACGGGAAAATCAACCCCGAGCTGGTGTGCTGCAACCCCCATCACCTTAGCCGACTCTGCGAACTAGGTAAGAGGTTCTGTGCCCACCTTTCCTCCCCCTCCCCCCCCCCCCGGTGCGGAAGCGCTGGGGGGAAGCCCCTGCGTTGCCACCCTTCCTGGGGTGAGCGGTCCCCCCCCCAGGAGGCGTGGGGGGGGCAAATCCAGAAGAGCGACCAGGGAAATCTCGAAGGGCATTCCTTGGGGGTTCCCCGTTCCTAGGCTTTTCTCTGTCTCCGCGAAGTGGGGAGAGATCATGGGCGCTGTTCCTGTGCACTCACTGTACAGACACGAGGCAAGGAATTAGATGCTTGGTTTCCTGGTCATGAAGAGGGTGCAGGGGAAAGTGTGTGTGTGTGGGTCATGTTTTCTCCATACCTGGAAAGGCGTTGAGGTGTGTGGCCGAGTTGGACCCAGTCCAAGCCCGCCAAGGAAGGCTGGGAGAAACGAGCCACAAAAGCTGGAAAAAGTGTCCCCCTTGAGTGAATCCAGAGGGTCATACCGGGCACAAATGGTCCCGACACTGCCCTGGCCTCGCAGCTTTGGAGTTTGGGCGCAGAGTTGAGATGGGAGGCGAACTTAGCATCTCAGCCAGCCTCGGGGTGAAAAGGAAGGACAGCCTGGAGAAGTTGCTGCTCCCTACATGTTTTACACAGTAGGCTGTAGACTGGTTGGCTTCCCCTCACCCCCCCTTCCAGGGCCGCGGTGACGTTGGCTGCCCCTTACTTGCGCGGGGACCCGGGCTTCTTGCGTGGGACCCCGAGTCCCCTGCCTACCCTTTTCATCACCCTTCCCCGCGACGTCCTCTCTCGGCTTCTTTCTGCACCCAGTGGGAGGTGCAGCTGGGTCTCTGCAGGGTCCCCCAAGTTCACCAGCACGCACGGGGGCACCGCTCCCAGATGAGCTGGGAGAAAGGGGAGTCCCGTGTTCCCCGCGCGCGGTGGGGGCGGGGGCGGCGGAGGTGATTGCACTTAGGGGCGGGCCGGGGCGGGGGAGGGCGAGGAGAGGTGGGGGGGTCCTGAGAGTTCCAGGACGTGAATGGGGCACAGTTGCCCCCCACCCCGTCAACTGTGAAGTGCGCCGCTCGGGTCCAGCCGCGACCAAAGCCGGTGGTTTCCAGCCGGGCCCGCCGAGCGCGGCGGCGGCGGCGGCCGCAGACGTGGAGGAGCGGAGCGCCGAGGCTGGCGCCAGGCGGCCTCTTTTGTTTATCTGACAGCTAAATATCAAGGCAATCACCGCCTCGCGGCCCTGCCTCCAACCCCCACAGCTAAGACAAACAGTTGGGCTAAAAGGATGCCTGTGTTATCATAAGTTTCTATCTCTCTTTCTCATGGCTCAGCCTTTATATTCTCTTACTTTTTTAATTCCAGAGTCTCCTCCCCCTCCTTACTCCAGATACCCGATGGATTTTCTCAAACCAACTGGTGAGTAGATGGTTTTCGAAGTATCTTTCCTGTCTTAAGCTGGAACTCCGAATCCCTAAAACTGAGGGTGGTGGTGTCCAGGGAGGTGCTCAGCTCACACAAATTCTTTATAGGGTTCCTGTATCAGAAGTTTAGATTGTTGTTGTTGTCTGGACTTTCTTCTTCTTCCCAGAGACGTTTCTTCGATATGCTTTTACATTTTGTTCCTTTTTGTAGTTTGCACTCTGACCAAACTTAGCTCAGCTTTTAACACAGAGGTTTTAATCCCCATAGTAGTCTGGAGAACCAAACAGGACAGGCTGATGGGAAAATTTAGGGACTTGGGGATGAGTAAAAGGAAGAGAAGACAGTTTCAGAGGGTTCAGGAGAGGCTTTGGTTTGGAGGAAGGCACTGGAATATTTGAGATGTCTGGGAACAAGGAGGGAGTAGGTTCCCAGTTAGCCCTTTCCTGGGATTTTCTCAGAATTCTTGGTAGGGACCATGAAAGTTTCCAGCACTTCTTGCTTGCCTGTTGCTTTGTCACCGAATGGAATGGGGCCAGGGTAAAAGCCCATTTGAGACTGGCACCAGCCTGGTTGTGGTTGTCTGCATTCAACTTTGGAGCTGGCTGTGCCAGGGGACAGTGTCAACAGATCCGATTGGGGGTGACAGCAGGGACAAGTCCTGGTTTCTTGGAGCCCCTTCCTCCAGTGGGAGAGTCATTTGCTGAAAGTACAGATTGTAACTTGCTTTGTTTTTGGGGTGTGTATTTGTGTATGCTTGAATGTTGGGCCTACAAAAAAATGCGATGTTGTGACATTTCTATTTTGCCAAGGTTCTGGGAGAGGGGAAAAGTGAAGGGTTGGGCACCATTTAGCTCCTGGAATTCTACAAGTCCTTCCGCCTCATGAGTTTTGGCTGTTGGGCCTTTCCCCCCACTAATTAAAAGTTTTGCTGGGCGTTGTCATAAATTAAATACTTTAATGAACATGTAACCGAAGCCCATGCTGTGCAGCCAGCCCTCCCTGGACAGGACGCCACCAGCTCACTCAGGTTGGGAAGGCGTTCCTGCTTGCCTGGTGCCTGGCTAATAAGTGGCCTGCAGAGCATGTGATATTTTGCTTTCGATTTACAAAACACCAGATAAATGGTCATTAATGAGAAGATAACTAACTCTGTATTTGTAACAAATGTTAACTGGAATTACCTACCAACCTCTGTTTCCCCAAAGAATGGAACTTGCCAGCATTTTTGGCTTAGAAAAAACTAGAATTCTTTGAGGTTAGTTTTCTTAATGAGTATCTCTGTGTTTTATTTTCTTCTTTCTGTATTCTTCAAATTTAAGGAGGTTGCCATTAAAAAAGTCCCAGAGATAAAGTATAGCATAAAAGTCCCTTCAAAACTTACACCCCACCTCCCCCCACAAAACAACATTGAAAAGGACCAAATTATCTTGGTTTTGCTGTAGAAATATTAGAATAAGTCTGTTCATAAAGTCTGTCCATAGGTTTTAAACAGTCATTCTGGCAGGCCAGGACCTCATTTTTTTAGGTGAGGGGAGTGATGTATTTATTCATTAGCAAGTGTTGACATTAGGTAGCAAGATGTGTGTAAAGAGAGAAGCCACAAAGACAGGAATGTGCCATTTCCAAGGGGAGAAACGGTCTCCAGATCAGCCAATAGGAAGTGATTATCCTGCCAATCGGAAACGCAAACAGCTGGTTACTCACCCCGAATGTTTTGTTTAAATAAAACAACAACAAAAGGAAAAAAACCAGGCTCTGTTTGGTAGGAACACGGGGGTAGTAACAGATGAAGCCCCCTTGAGAGGAATGGTCAGGACACAGGCAAGGCAGCCAGGTCTGAGGCTGCCAGGGGTATGGGACTAGGCTGGGACTGGTTTTGCTGGCTGCTGTGGCCAAGGTTGTTGTGGTTAAGCACACATACGGGAGAGGAACTGTCTCAGGTTTTTCTCATGTTAGGTTTGGGAATTCAGATCATCCAGTTCCGTTCTTACGTTTCTAAGCCTTGGTTGAAGTTGTAGTGTTGGATTAGGTGAGAGAAACATAAGGGCTTTGTAATGGGCAGTTGTTAAAATCTGGAATCCATTCTGTGAAGTCCTCAGCTTGGGAAGACTGGTACCCCAGAGTTGAGGAGCCTGTGGGGGTAACTGGGGGGCTAAAATGATGGTAAGGTTGCTTAACTGCAGCCTCTGGCAGGGTCTGAACTTTACCCACCTAGTTCTGTGTGGTCCCAAACCAGCAGAGTGATCTTGCAAAGGCATGTTCATGGACCTGAACTTTGGGACAAGTGGCTGTAGCTTGTGGTTCTTGGATGTTAGAATTCGCTGTTCCGCAGGTGGGCATCCTTGGGGGTTTAGCTTCCTGGGTGCTCTGTGGACTATTTAGGAAGTTTGAGTATCCAGGCTTGCTATGGAGAGGAGCTTCAAGTGGTCTCTCTTTATGTTTGGGCTGGGAAAGCCAGGGGGCCAGTGCCACAGTGTTTTTTAAAATTTTTCCTTCCTTCCTTCCTTCCTTCCTTTTTTGGTGTTAGTCCTAGGACTTGAACTCAGGGCCTAGCATTCCACCACTTGAGTCACAGCTTTACTTTAGGCTTATTGGTGGATGATTGGAGATAAGTCTTATGAACTTTTCTGCAGGCTAGCTATCCTTAGATATCAGCCTCCTGAGTAGCTAGGACTAAGGGTATAAGCTACTGATGCCTGACCTGTGCCATAGACTTTTAAAATCTGGCTACTGGAACCACGATCTGGCCTTGCCTTTCCTCTTAACTTGTCTTTACTTTTCCAGAGGTGAGGAAAGAGTTTGATTAGATCATGGGTTTGTTCCATTTCATGATAGGGGATTCCTGAGTAGGACTGCTGTCTGGATCTGGGCGCCTTTGATTCTGAGTTAGGTGGACTCCTGGGGGTGGAGTTGTGGCAT